GCCGCAGTCCGGTCCCGACCGTGGTTCGAACCCGAACCCATCCAGACTGGACCAGTGGTTCGGTCACAGGTTTGGTCTCTCTCCTGGACCGAACCCCCTAACAGGTTCGGGGTTCGATGTCGTCACTGAAAAATGCGGACCGGTTCGGACGCGTCCGGACCGGTCCGAACCTGCACCACGCGCACAATTCCAGCTGCGTGTTTTTCGTGAGGCTTCCTGTCAGTTTAAGTAGTGCGCTCACCAACTTCTGTTCCTTCTCTTCTTTTGACAGTAGCGTTCCCCACATTGCGCAAGCAACAAGGGTGCTTTTTTCAGCTATGCAACGACTCGAAGCACCGGTACTATGTTCACCGTCTCTCATGTTTGATAAGTTGCTAACTTCTAATGTTTTTTCATTCAGAATACCTACTACTGTGGTGATTCCTGGGTTTTCCACCAAGTTTGCGCAATGGATTTGTCATTTTGGAACTTGAAGGTGCGCAACATTTTTTTATTTAGTTTGAGATATATATTCACTTGTGGTATAGGTTCGACATTCGCACTCCCTGCTGCAACTATGTTCGAGTCGTCTGCACCAGCCCGTCGTCCTGACGGTTCGTTGAAAAGCGCTGAAGAGATGGAGTGGATACACCCCGGATGATGACACTACCATCCTCCCTCCCCCTCCTCCATCCAAAGGCACACTCAATTCATTCATTATCGTTCAGGCCGCGCTGTCAAGCCTACAGAGAAGATCCGGGAGACTGCCAGCAGTATCCCGGCCAAACGGTCAGCTGTAGGACCTCCTGCCCCCGCACCCAAGAAAGCACTCATGCGCACCAGAAACGAAGAGCGTTGACGACAACGACAGTGACGAATACGACGCCGAAGAAGAAGCCCCTCCACTTGAGGATTTTACAGATGATGAGGAAGACGATGAGAATGAGAACGAGGAAGCTTACCAAAAGACGAAGAAGCTTGGTGACCAGGATCGTGAAGACCGTAAATCCCTCAAGAAGGTCGAACGCAGCGCCGATTTGACCACGATCTTTACTTTTCGAGAAAGATCGTGTTAACCCCCACACCCAGGAGCGCGAAAATGGGTGGTGGTGTGAGGTATGCAAGGCTAACAATGTTCCGCTTCACCAGTGCTTTTTTAAGGGGGGTATTTCGACTCGACGCACGCACATTGCACGGAATCCCCAAGTGCCATTACCCTATCTACAAGGACCGCTGTGAACAACGGGGTCTCACGATGCACGATCGTGCAATCCCTCGTAACTGCAAAGCGGACGTGCCGCAGCCTACCTTGGACGCCTCACTTACTCCCAAGATTCCTGCATTCACAAAGGCTGGACTCATGGATTACATTGTCGAACTCATTGTTGCCGAAGATGAGGTGAGCGACTCTCATTTTTGATATATTTTAAAACACTTATACAACATTATAGGCCTTTCAACTTGTAGATAAAGGACCCTTCCGCCGCCTACTTCAATATCTCCGGCCATCACTTTCAGACCGAGACATTCCCCACCGTACCAAAACTCGGGACGAAATACTCGAACGTGCAAAGCTGGCAGTCGAGCACGTGAAAGAGAAGCTCAGCCGTGTCGATAGCAAAATTTCCATGATGTTCGACTCTTGGACGTCTTTTCCTGGTCACCCTTTTCTGTCAATTACAGCGCATTACATAGATTCCCCAGCTGAAAACCCTCATGAGTGGGAACTTAGGGTGGAGCAGCTCGCGTTCGCACCCATTCACGGCAATCACAGCGGTGCGAACATCGGGAAGATTTTGATCGAGAACATCAACAAATACGACATCCGCACGAAGCTTGGGTGGTTCACGGCTGATAACGCATCAAACAACGATACTGCCATTGAGATGGTTGCGACCTCTATTGACCCTCACGGAGTGGAGTGGAAACCAATTGAGCATCGAGTACGGTAAGTTCGTTCATTAAGTACTGAATTTGAGATTACTGATGAATATTCAGTTGTATGGAGCACGCACTCCACTTAGCTGCAAAACACTTCGTTGAAGAAGTGGCTCCTACACCGGCAAGCGTCTTGCACAAGAAGGCAGCTCAAGCTGAAGACGAGGACGAGGACGGCGAGGAAAGTGTTGAATTTGACGTTGGTGACACTATTGGCAAGGCGCTTGCATTTGTAGCGCAGGTAAGCTCTTTAATGATCTATCTGCTATTGTATAGTACTGACACGAGACCTTTGTTTAGGTCCGGAAGTCTCCTCAAGCTCGCGTCTTCCTTCAAAAGTGCTGCAAGGAGGTGAATGAGCCCCCATTGGAGCTTTTGAAATGGGTCCGCACACGTTGGGCGTCTCTTTTTAATATGTTGGAGCGTTTTTTTAAATTGCGCAAAGTAAGTTGTCTACTACCGACTACATGAACACATTACTGACTTGATTATTAGGGAGTAAACAGATTCATCCAGCTCGCTGATGACAGCGACGAGGTCCCAAATCTGAAGGGAAAATCATACGCGGATTTCAGGCTTTCAGCGCACGAGTGGGCAGAGTTGGAGTTGATCCGTGAAGTCCTCCAGGTAAGTCATTTCTCTCTACCTTCCGCAATTATGCTTATGTGCTGCACACCGCACACCAAGGAGCCGGCAGATGCTCAACAGAGCTTCTCTGCCACACGTGAACCAACCGTATGGAGAACCATTCCAGTGCTCGAATGTCTTCAAGACACTTTGCAAAACATGGCGAACGCATCAAAATTTGCCCGTTTCTCAACGGCCATCGAAGCTGGTGTCACTAATCTCCGCAAGTGGTATAGTAAGACTGACGACACAGATGTATATTTCATTTGTCTTGGTATGTATCTCGTATCTATTCTAATGCCTTTGAATGTCATTGACCTTGTTGGTGTAGCGCTGGACCCCAACTACAAGGTCGCGTACGCGAAAGACAAATGGACCACTCATTCTTTCAAAAAAGGCATGCAATGCCTCGAGAGCACGGTACGTCACTCATCACTCATTTCTGTCAATTGTATACTAATCTTACATAGTTTGATATGTATCATCGCAGTAGTACTCCCTCGCAGGCTCCTGCAGAGCCGTCTGTTACTGCGCCTCCCTCGCTTGCTCGCCAAGGCTCATATGGCCATAATTGGATGTGAAGCTCTGTCAAATCGCGTGTCGTGAATGACGCAACCACACGAAGGCCTCGTCAAGAACTCGAGGACTATCTAGATGCACCGCTCGAGGACGTCAACAATGTGGTGGCCTGGTGGGGTGTACGTCTTGTTATTTTATTTGTATTGCTTTCGTACTAACATGATTCAAAAAAACTTTAAAGCATCATTCTATACAATACCCGACTATTTCCCGCATCGCAAAGGACTACCTCGCCATTCAGGGATCAGCTGTTGCGTCTGAGAGAGCATTTTCGAGCGGCGGCGTTACTGGGACCATGCGTCGCAGCTGTTTGAAGCCGACAACATTCGAGGCTCTTCAATTGCTCAAGAGCGCATACCACCAAGGTCATATCTCCGCAACAGCCCAGGCTGAATTCGCCACTCCTTATGATAACCGCGTCGACGTCAATGAAGAGTTCTAGTAGCTATTCGTATTGTACATGTCATTTTCGTTTTGATTTTTTTTGCTAATTAAATCAATGGTTCGAGGGTTCGAACGCGTTCTGAACCTGAACTGAACCCTTGTGAACGCGTTCGAAGGCGTCCGGTCCAGGGTTCAGCCATCTTGCCTGAACCTGACCACTGGTCGAGTTCGGGGTTCGCAGATATAGGGTGATGAACCTGACCGAACCGGACTTCGGCAGCACTATGTGGGATTGTCCAGAAAATTGACTCTCTTCCATTTCCCTAAGGCTCTCATTGGACATCCCAGACCTCAAGCCACAGCTGCAGATGCACTTGATCGCGAGTTTCTTCGAATCCGTCGAGCGCCCACGTAATCAACACTCTCCAAGTTCCATATCCGCGCTGTACAATTAAATGCCTTGCTCATTAACGCAGGTGACCCACCTCTGAGTCGGTACATCCACAACGCATGTTTCTGCACTTCGGTCAGCTCGTCAAGTCGGACGTGATGGACACCCGTTTTCATCGTTTTGACGAGTTACTGTTCAAGCCTGGATTGTTGATCCTGACCATGAATATGTCCAGGCCCGAGATCTCGTGCAAGACTGCATCTTGCTGTTGCTGACGCTCAGCGATGATGGCGGTCTTTGAGCTCGACCGCAGACGAGCTATTGAGGAGACTGACTTCAGAGTATGGAGTATCAAGGTCTGGCATCTAGTAATGTAATTCATTAATAAAATGATGTCCAGACTGTGTCGCAATCGACATACATACAGTCACTTGTGAACGTACGGGCTACAGCGAACGAACATTAGACGTGAGCACAATATAAAACTGGGCGCATTCCATTGACACCGTGTGTGTCGAGGTTGTAAACGATATCTGACTGTCTCGCTTATTCCATGAATTTATGTAAAGCGAGCCATTGCCAGCCAACGAATACACAAGTCCAGTAAAGTATGATTTTCCGTCGATCAAGTTTCAAATCTGGTAAATGAGGCTCAGCAGTGAGATCGCCCTCATGGACAGGATTCACAGGAACGCGCTGGTTAGGCAGTACGTTGCAAAAGTGGTAGCTGGTCATGAGTCTTGTCAGCATATAAGCGACTTACATTAAACTCGCGCCCGCAAATTAACTATGAATAGGGACGAAAAGAAATCAAAATCTGAAGGACATGGTAATAAAACACTACTTCAAATCAACATAGATAGCGCAGGAAAACAAGAGCAACGACAGAACTGAAATACCCGAGGACATCCATGAAAGCCGCTAGCAGCAGAAACACGACTTGCCACCTCCGTGTCCCCCAGTATCTGTCTGCACTGCTACTAGTTGCTGCTGTTGCTGTTGCGTATTAGGCTGTTGTGTAGCATTGGGGTCCTGCGGAAGATCATCGAAATATTCGTCAGGTACCAAGTCCTCATCTCTCCCAGGAGCATCTGCTGCAGCATTGCGCTATACATTCCCATATGAGATAGCCAAAAAAGTGGTAAAAATGAACCAGGCGCACCTCTTTACCCTTTGCGAAAGGAACATCGACGACGGGTGGTGCTGCATGATCGGGTCGCCAGGTGAATAGGTGTCGTACGTGGGCTTTGAAGGTCGTGGGAGCAGTGGCACATGGTAAGGCAGTGGGCTGCTTTGTTGTGAGTGAAGGTGCAGGTGCAGGTGCAGGTGCAGGTGCAGGTGGTGGAACTGGATGAGGATTCCTTGTCATAGCGAGCCTGAGTTTCTTAAAGCGCCCCGGGAGCTGCTGAGGGTCGCGGCCTGGAAATTTGAGAATACTGTAATGGATGGTGTGTGAGAGAGAAATAAAGATAAAATGCACTGTTGCACTCACGCCATGCGTGTCCCGGAAGAAATCTGGTTCTACATCATAGCCATCTTGATCTTGCCCCGGAATCTCCGCCTGCATAATTTAGGTCAGTAGCGAAAGGGTCGAGGAAGTGAATACATGCGCCAAGAATACGGTCATCATGAGCAAGCGCGCTACATTGTTCCTTGAAGTCTGAGTGAAATGCGGGTGAGTATGACAGGTTCGAGTAGCATTACTGAAAACTTGCCGTTGGACCAATCGAGGCAGTTAGCCTTCTCAGTTTCATCGATGGCGTCCATCATGTGCTGGTGTGATTCAAGGGCTTCTTCGACTTTACCTGCTGAAAGGAAAGCCTGACAGCGTTTCTGGTGTGTGCGGTGAGCCAGAAGGACTCAAGATCCCAGCCGAAGAGCTGGACGAAGCACTCAGTTATAACAGAATAGTTCGATGCATCATGTCAACGTACCATGATGAAGTCCTCGTATATTTCATGGATGATTTTCGATGGGAAAGCGCTGGAGTTGATGGCGGCGGCGAAGTGGTCAGCAGCTTCGTCATAATGTGCGCTATCCAAGGCCCTGGTTCCGAGCTGAACGCGTAGATATGCCTAGTGTCCAAATTGGCGATATCAGTGTTGAAAACGGAGCATAGCCGCATGATACTGACTTCCACGACGCGACACGCGAGGATATCAGCATTCGGACAAGCGGCAGCCAGTTCTTTGACGAGCAGAATTGCCTCGTGATGTTGATCTGCATTGAAGAGGACAATGGCCTGAAATACGGAATGGAGCAGAGAGTGTGCGGAACGAACTTAACCTACCTTGATCAAGAGAAGAAAAGTTTGTGAATCTTGGTTCGTGAACATGGATGCGACGTCAAATGCTACCCTTGCGTCCCGGACATTACCATTTCCACACAGGGCAATGCCTTTGGAGATATAGCCTGTTAATGAGCGCTGAATGTTGATGGACTACGTCACGGACAAAAGTTAACCTTTCGTAAGAGGGTCATAATTGGGCGGTATGGCCCACCTTGATTGCATCCTCGAGGGCGCGGTCCCAGTCTTGTTTTCGCGCCATAACGAATGAGCGATTGGCATAAGAGGCATGTTTATTGGCATAAGTATTGGGGACAGCGTCAATATCTTGCGTGAGTAGCTGTTCAGCGGTTGACAAGTCCCCAGTTATGCATGACTCGTGGGCTGCCGTGATAGTAGTGATGATCTGCATGAAGCATGCTCAAATTGCGTGACATGAGTCAAGGATGGAAACTCACGTTTGAATGAAAACCCCTACGTGCTTCCCACTCTGAGATTTGATTATCATCACCTCCGCTGAGGATGTTATTGCCATCTGCGGAGAACGTGATACATGTATGACTGCGTGGGTGCTGGAAGATGGCAATGGTTTGTCGATCTGAGAGCCGCCAGAGACGGACATGGTGGTCTTCAGATGTGGAAGCAACAAGCGTGCCAGCAGGATTGACGGCGATGGCGTGGATCGTGTCAGTATGGCCCTTCCAGGGATCACCGACCCTCTGCCAGGTTGATGTATCCCACTCTTGTATGGCGTTATTCACAGCAGAAAGAAGGCGTTTGCCATCGGGCGTCCACGCGAGTTGGGCGTTGACTCGAGCCTTGAAGGACTGGATGTTTTGCCTTGTGTCTGCATTATAAATTTCGATATGGTCCCTTATCGTGATGGCGAATATCGAACCCGGTGGACCGAATCATCTAATTTGATGTGATTTCCTTGTTGCTGCCATGTTTTGGTGCACCACAGCTTGACCCTCTTGTTCCCTGAACCAGTGGCCAACACTGTACCATCCGCGGAAAAGTCCAGCGAGCTGACATATGATTCTGAGTGGGCTTCGATAGATTGGGTGAGTGATTCTCCCGTTTCTCCATGCCAAACGATGACCTCTCCATTGCTATCACCACTTGCTATTATTTGCCTATCTCGTGATATCGCCAATGCCTGCACCCGACTGCGATGCCCCTCCATCTTCTTCAACACAACACCTGTCTTCAAGTCCCAAAGACAAACCGTGTTGTCAATGTCCCACGAGCACGTAACCATTCTTCGTCTATCGGGGAAAACTGCGACTGCGGTTACGCGTCTTTCGTGACCTTTCAAAGTTCGAAGGGGTGTGGTGCTTGGAATGAGCTTCGTCATCTTACTGGAGGTTGGTAATGTTGAGCACAGTTGAGTTTTTCGTCTCACTGGCAGCTGCAGAGGTGCGTGTGTTGTGCGTTTTTACGTTACTTCACTACATTACCCTACCTTGTTTGCATAGACGCCCAAGACACAAGGTGGTTTGCTGCCAATCATACTTCCATCACACACTTGCCTTGGTCGACAGTATACCCTTCCGCCGCCTCGGCACTGTATACATTCGTCGGAATACATAACCGTTCGAATCTCATCATGTGCGAATCAACCTTATGAGCATTATATGTCCCGCTGGATGAAAATCCTGAGATAGCTGCGTTTTCGACCTTCCATGCGCATTGACACCAGAAACGAGCAGTTATCCTATCCTAACTTCTGGGCCCTTCACTCGTCACGCACGATGGAAGGAATTGCTCTACCGATTTCCGGTACTCCATGCCTCTTGTCTCAACGTCGAACCAAGAGCGTGTTGGTGAAGAGCTGTCGTGACGAAGCCAGAGGTCGCTAATCGACGAAAACCTGGCAAATGCAAAAAGCGGCGCTTGGACTTTCTCAGTCTGGTACTGGGTCGTCAGCGTGGAGATGTCAGTCTTTCCGGCACTCTTTCTCGTCAACTATCTCTCCTGTAGCACCACATTCTCCGACGCGCTCGCTCGAAATTTGTAGTTTGTTCACTCATTTTTTTCTGTCACCCTCCACTCCCTTGAACGTCATGACAACAATTCAAACTGCAGTCGTTCGCCTATACGTCATACCCCTTGCTACATAGCCGGCCACAACAGCGTACGACCCGAGCTAGGACTTCAAGTATTCGGCAGGTCGATGATTGACTTCTGGTGGGGTCTTTGACATGAGAGTGCGCCAGAAGCATGGAGCTAACAAGACTTACATTTTCTTCCCGTACGCTATTAGCTATGAAGCACGAGTCTTTTCACTGCAGTGTGCCTATACATGATAGCATCAGCAATAGGTAGTGAGCTCTGCCACGAATGCGGCCATACGCGACTTTATAATGGATCTAAGACACATGCGGTCTGGCCTATGAGTGATTTCCAGGCGAGTACCAATAGATATATGTTTGTGGAGACTCTGAGTGATCGGGACAGTGAGAAGTAATAAAGATTGTGATGGAAGGAAGAACCGTTAGCCGTGTTATCTTCGCGGTCGGCCGGGATGATTGAACGCTATACCTAGACGGATGACAGAAGAGAGTCATTCCTTCTCACTGAACAGCAGCACGCAAATAACACAGGCGGAGCAATTTGTATTTCCATAAAGAGTGCTAGTGAAGCGCTAAGCGTGACCAGACACGATAATCGCACGGCAGCTCACAGACGCAGCTGACTACCAAGCACGTACCGACAGGGATGTGGTGTTCGCACATGGTATCCTTCTCGCAGTATGACTTGCTGCAGTCTCTTGGAGGGGAGACAGATACCATGTATGATTTCATAGACATGGATCAGTTTCGGCTCATCATTGCTTCACTAGCAAACGCGGAAGAACATGATCGGGCCCTGTGTCTCAATTTGATCAAGATGGAATCATGGGGCACGAGCGCGCGTACGAGGTGAGCTACTCGCCTGACTCGATGTGATTGGTTTGGGGCTTGACCGTGACACGGATATCGAATGACAAGAAACTTATATCCTGGCAACGGCGGATGATACAATGGCCCTAATCAAATGGGCTCTTGCAGGTTCTGCCTAAATTTCTGCCATCCGACATCAATAATAATTCTGCCAAATCGATTCAGAGGTTTGCCCATTAGTATACGCAGGATATAAAAACTGGCCGTTTTACTACAATATCCCCTATCCTCAGAGTTCTTATTCGAGATCCCCGTCAGAAGATTCCATATCGCATCACTAGAAATGCGTTTCTCATTCCTCGCCGTTGTTGTTGCTTTGACAGCATCTATGTCTGTCAGTGCATGTAGCGAATATTATTGCGAAAGGACTTCGGATTGTTGTGCTGACTATGTTTGCGAAGGGGATGTGAGTATAAGCAGTTGCTGTCCATCCACATGACTTACCCTTTGCGCCTTGTAATTCTAATAGAATGGAGTCAAAGTCTGCATGATAGTCTCGAAATGAGCGGGCAGCCTGAGCGGCACGTCGCGACAGTAAGTCATGTTTCTGCTTTCGTTTTGGTGCCGTGGTTGATGGTGCCATCCCTAGTTCAGAAACGATCAGTGTATGGTTGGTTCTAGACAAACTTTAAGGCTGCTTGAGCAATGCAGACCTTTGAACATCAACCCCCCCCCCCCCCCCCCCTAGTATGATATATGCATCAACCTGAATGAGTTCTGACACGTTACGTACTTTTTGGTCCGGGGTGCAAGCTTACACATTCTGAAATACATCACTTCCAAGAATGAGCGCATTAATGAGCATGCACATGATTCGACATGAGCATTGGGATCGAATGATCCCTCTAGTGAGATCTCCGAGTTTGCTGCAGGCTTTGATGAACTTCTACTGTGGATTTTTATCAACGTACCTAGGCTCGTGACCAGGCTGGCTTACCAATACCATGGACAAGTCGAGTCGCGAAGCCAACGTCAAACACTTCAAAGACATAGTCCAGACTGGTTACGAGTCTAAGTGGTACCTCGTTTTGTGTGTCGTGTGATTTGGCAACTTGAGATCAATGTGATGATAGGCGTCTATCGGAAGCAACAATCTTCAAATACATCATGTAGTAGTAATAATCTCTATTCCAACGAAAAGGTTCTGAAGGGAATGACCGCTTAGCAGGTGGAGAAAGCAGTACTTGTTTGCTAAGTGCGTGAAAGACACGGGAAGCACCTTGCTAGAAACGCAAAGCAGCCAACGTCTGGAACATATTCAATGTCCATCGGGGAAGGGGGTCTGTTCGTTGCAGCAGAAGCACTGGTACTTCCAGTCTGCAAGGTTTCTGGGGTAGTTCCATCTGTCACATTGGATGAGCCCAATGGGGGTGCGCTGCTGCTTGAAGCACCAGCA